TAAAATTTAGAAGATTGACCCATGCATCGTCAAGGATGTTGAGCAGCTAGAAATCATGTATTCTGCTGGTGGGAATGTAAAATGGTGTGATCACTTTGGAGAACATTTGGCAGTGTTTTTAAGTTAAACATACACCTACCATATGATCCGTCCATTCCACTCCTAAGGATTTACCCAAGAGGAACGAAAACTTACGCTGTCACATAGACTTACACACAAATATCCGCAATAATTTCATTTATGATAGCCAAAAACTAGAAATAACTGTGTCTGTCAGTAGGTGAATGATAAGCAGATTGTAGAAGATTTGTACAAAGTAGTATGACTTGGCTATGAAAAAGAATAACTATTGATACATGTGGTAATGTATAGTGACAGAAAACAGATCATTGGTGGCCTGGGGTTGGGAGAGGAAGGGAAGGGGGAGAATTATGAGAGGGTACTAGGAAACTTTTGGGGATGTTATAAATGTTTGTTATCTTCATTGGACTGGCGGTTTTGTGGGTATATACATGCATGAAAAATAATCAAATTGTAAACTTGAAATGTATGCAGTTTATTATACTTCAACTATATTTCAATAAAGTTCAAAAAAATTAGTGCTTACATACTTAAATACTCCTAATCTAATAACCTGTATATTTTCAGAAAGATTTCATGTGTATGTACACATTATGAGAATTTGTACTGCTGTTAACTGGTTCATGATTTAATTCTCCCTCAAGGATCTAAACTTATCTAAAAATTTTTAATGCATGGTCAATCTCGGAAAAACTAGCCGTCAGAAATTTATAATATCCAGTTCTGATTTGGGTCTAATTTAATTCTGGTTAGCAGTATTGGAATTTATTTATTTTTTCCCTCTTTTTCTACATTTAGTGCAACAGTAATGAACATTCGCTTTTTCTCTTTTTCATTCAACATCAGTTCCCTCTTAACTTCAGCTGCTAATGAGCAAGAGAATCAGAACTACCTTCCAGCTCCCCTGCATGTTCCACATCACTTTAACTCACTCAGAGCTCTTACTCTAGAGCCTTCCCTTTACCAGCACTCAGCTCCGTTCACTTAAAGCCTTTGGTCCCTTACTCTTGTCTTCTACATCTTCTCTACTGGATCCTTCTTTTTTATATTTCACCTCTCTAGAAGAAGCCCACTATTTTGAAAACAAAAATAAAATTATCTGTGGCTTCTTCTATTAGTGTTTCTCTTTTCCGGTAACAACCAAAGTCCTAAACAAGTCACTTCCTTCGTTTCTAAACTGGCTATACCAACTTTTACTTCCTCCTAATTTTGCTTCTGACACAACCCTTCTCCTTGATCACAGAATCTAGATTTGCAGATTTATTTTTTTCTATTTTACCTTCACCTGCATTTTATGCTTTGTGGTTACTTTTGCTTTTACTACTTATATTAATAACCTCTAATTATTTATTTTGTGTCTTCTAATTTGCACTATAAAAACATTTTTTGAAACAAAACCCCTGGCCCTTGACATGTAGTCTCACAAAGAGGAACTTTTGTATTTTTCTATCTCCAAGTTAGTTCTGGGCCAGTTGCAGCTTAACTCAGTTGTTTAAATTCTTGCTCTTTTTTCTGTTCTCAGGACACTTGGAGTGCCCCACCTTTATCTCAGTCACAATGTAATTAAAATTGAGCTCTTTCCTTCTCACATCAACCAAGGTGTGAGAAGGATAAAAGCACTTCTCACATAAAAGCAATTCCTACCTGCTTCCTACCACTTACCTGACAAATTATGTCTAAACCTGCTTCTAGATTGTTTTGTTCACTTACTTTCTTGATGTAGAGAATGAAGTAGCTTGCTATTTATTGGGTTAGAGCCAAAATCTTTGCTGTGACTTTCAAGGACTGCCTTTTGTCTCTGAGCTTATTTCACACTGTTCCCCATCATGGATTATGATCTCCTTTGCATCTTCTTTCTGGTTCATCGGTGCTCTGGTGCTGATTCCCACTTCCCTGCCAGCAGCAACTGGCTTCTCTTCTCTCTGTATGTACAGTTCTTATCCTCCTAAAGAGATGTTCTTCTCTATGAAGTATTTTATTTATTTGACCAAATTCAGGCTGTAATAACTTTTTGTTTGGAGCACTTCGGTTCATGTATCTTTTTTCCCCAAAAGCAAATTGCTAGCACCTTCAATCACAGGTATCAGTTTGCTGTGTTTGTATCCTTTGGAGTGCCTCTCATTGCTATAGGCACAGAGTTGATTTCTAATTAATGTTCGTTTCCTGATTGGTACATAGTAAGAAGACAGATTGACATCACCATCATGGCAAGTTTTGGATTTGGTTTTTTGTTTTGTTTTTGTTTTTGCTTTTGCTTGAGACAGGGTCTCACTCTGCCACACAGCCTTGACCTCCTAGGTTCAAGCTATGCTCCTACCTCAGCCTCTCAAATAACTGGACCTATAGGTGCACACCACCATGCCTGACTAATTTTTGTATTTTTTGCAGAGATTGGGTATTGCCATGTTGCCCAGGCTGGTTTTGAACTCCTGGGCTTCAGCGATTCACCCATCTCAGCCTCCCAAAGTGCTGGGCCTGAAGGCGTGAGCCACCACACCCAGCACATGGCAAGCTTTGACCAAATACTTTCAATTGTATATCAGAGTGTTTGGCAATTACAATTTGACAGTTTACTTATATAATCGTATGTTAGGGAGTTCTGGGTTTTTTTAATTTGTTATTTTTGGGAATTTTCAGAAATTTCAGCTTTTCTGGTACCCTTCATTCTTTTTATAAGTTACATTGTTAATTTTGAATCAACCACATATATATAATGCTTTTTATATAAACAGAATATTGTATATACTACACTACACTGCAGCTTGCTCTTGCTCTTGTCATTAATACTTCTAAGGTATCTTCCATATCTATGTGTGGTTTATAGAATTTTTTAAATCTACTTTTTTTTTTTTT